GAGGAGACCCGTCTGGCGGGTAACATTCAGCAGACGCGGTGCGCCCGCGGAGGCTTGCAGATCTTCACGATCAACGCCAACAGTTGGTACTCTGCAAAGTCATATATTCTCGAGAGTGAGGCTCACATCGTACTCGTACAAGAAACAAATATTGAAGGTCAAGTCATGTGGGATGAGCGCGAAAATGTTCGCAAGTTGGGCTGGGAGTCGTTCTGGGCACCTTGTGCCGCAACTGCTAAAGGAGGCCGCAGCAGTGGCGTTGCGATTTTGTTTCGAGCACATCTTGATGCCTGGCAAGCCCCAGGCCATGAGGAACCGCTTGTCCCACATCGATTAATTCAGGCATTTGGCCGAACTAAAGTTTTGGGCGTGGTATCCGTGCACTGCGGCTACTGGAAGGATGCAGAGGCTTGGGCCCGACCAACCTGCAGATCGCCAAGCAGCTGGGGGACAGCGTGCTCTACCACTCGGATCCCTTCATTGCGGGGGGAGATCGCAACCTCGAGCCCAATGTGTTTCAGGAGGGGTTCGCGCCCCACGAGATGAACGGACAACTGGTGATCCCTTCGCCAGCTGCAACCTGCATGTCTGCCACGCCAGGTCGGTGCTACGACTATTTTTAGTGGCCAAGGCCTTGGTGAGTTGCATCAGCACGGCAAAGACAGATTTGAACCCCGAGATGTACCCCCACAGGCCGGTGCTCCTGACCCTTAAGCCGGATCTTGATAAGCTCGCGGTGCACCGTTTGGAGAAGTATGCCAAGCTCCCAGTGGACTTACCCGTTGGGCCCGCTCCAGAGCCCCCAGACTACCAGGACCTGGTGGACAACTTAGAAGGTCTCCTGCAGCCTCTTCAGGTTCCCGAAGGTTATCGACTTCCGCGACCTGACGAAGTCGGAGGGCTCCAAGCAGGCCTAGATGATAACTGCCAATCTTGGTGTGAAAGGTCATGGGGGGAGCTTCAGGGGTCTCTGCAATGTTACCCTCATGGAGCCCGCGGAGGTAGCCCGTGCAATACTCAGGAGGTTCCTTCTAGGCGAGCTGCTATGCACCAAGAGGTCCCCCACCAGGAGCCCTTATCGTGCGATGCATTGGCTGTCTCAGAGGACTCGCGAGTTGTGCAGTCTGCTCAGGAGTGGAAAATATCTGGAACATTCAGACGATATCAGAAGCTTGGTTCGCTCGACATGGTCAGCGACGAGGACAGGAGGTTTTTCCAAGTATCATTTCCCAGGCGGTCTAGATCTGTGGGCCAGTCTGCTCCGCGAAGCGGTCGATCCACTGCGGGCCCCAGGTGAAATCGAGCATCTGGAGATCCGAGCTGGGTCACTCCTTGCCCTACATCATATTGCCTCCTATCTGTCCTCCGTCTACCACCCCCGTGAGAATTAGCCTGGCGAAGGACCCAACCATATGCAGCTGCGAGTGCCGCACGGATATGAGACGAAGGAGGGGGCACGCAAACTAGGCCCCTCTTCTCACAGGCACCGCGCCACTGGGGCCTTCGGTGGAGCTCCCTATGGGGCCACGAAACGTGTGAAGGGTGTACCGAAATGGGTGGTGGGGAGGCATGCGGACCCTGCCACTGGGGTCTTCGGTGGAGCTCCCTATGGGGCCACGAAGCGTGTGAGGGGTGTGCCGAAAATGGGTGGTGGGGAGGCATGCGAACGCAGCCACTGGGGCCTTCGGTGGAGCTCCCTATGGGGCCACGAAACGTGTGAGGGGTGTGCCGAAATGGGTGGTGGGGAGCCACTGGGGCCTTCGGTGGAGCTCCCTATGGGGCCACGAAACGTATGAGGGGTGTGCCGAAATGGGTGGTGGGGACGCATGCGAACGCAACCACTGGGGCCCCTTCGGTGGAGCTCCCTATGGGGCCACGAAACGTGTGAGGGGTGTGCCGAAATGGGCGAGGGGCGGCATGCCAACTCTGCCACTCGGGCCTTCGGTGGAGCTCATTATGGGGCCACGAAACGCGTCAAGGGTGTGTCGACATGGGTGGCGCGGACGCGTGCGAACCCCGCCACTGGGGCCGCCGGTGGAACTCCCAATGGGGCCACGAAACGTGTGAGGGGTGTGCAAAAGTGGGTGGGGGCGGCATGCGAACCCTGCCACGGGGGCCTTCGGTAGAGCACCCTATGGGGCCACGAAATGCGTGAGGGGTGTGCCAAAGTGGGGTGGGGGCGGCATGCGAACCCTGCCACTGGGGCCGTCGGTGGAGCTCCCTATGGGGCCACGAAACGTGTGAGGGGTGTGCCAAAGTGAGATGGGGGCGGCATGCGAACCCTGCCACTGGGGCCTTCGGTGGAGCTCCCTATGAGGCCACGAAACGTGTGAGGGGTGTGCCAAAGTGGGGCGGGGGCGGCATGCGAACCCTGCCACTGGGGCCTTCGGTGGAGCTACCTATGGGGCCACGAAACGCGTGAGGGGTGTGCCAAAGTGAGGTGGGGGCGGCATGCGAACCCTGCCACTGGGGCCTTCGGTGGAGCTACCTATGGGGCCACGAAATGCGTGAGGGGTGTGCCAAAGTGGGGTGGGGGCGGCATGCGAACCCTGCCACTGGGGCCGTCGGTGGAGCTCCCTGTGGGGCCACGAAACGCGTGAGGGGTGTGCCAAAGTGAGGCGGGGGCGGCATGCGCACCCTGCCACTGGTGCCTTCGGTGGAGCTACCTATGGGGCCACGAAACGTGTGAGGGGTGTGCCAAAGTGGGGTTGGGGCGGCGTGCGAACCCTGCCACTGGGGCCTTCGGTGGCGCTACATATGGGGCCACGCAACGCGTGAGGGGTGTGCCAAAGTTGGGTGGGGGCGGCATGCGAACCCTGCCATTGGGGCCTTCGGTGGCGCTCCCTATGGGGCCACGAAACGTGTGAGGGGTGTGCGGAAATGGGAACTAATGGCGATGGCGATGATGATGATGATGATGATGATGACGATGATGATGCTGGTGGTGATGGCGATGATGATGCTGGTGGTGATGATGACAGGATGGTTGGGAGCTAATGACGATGGCGATGATGATGAAGATGATGATGCTGGTGGTGATGATGACGAGGAT